CTGTTTTTCTTTCTTTCTTTCTTTCTTTCTTTCTTTCTTTCTTTCTTTCTTTCTTTCTTTCTTTTAGGGAAGGGTCTACGGGGTGTTCAGGGTCTCACTACTAGATTGGATTTGTAGTGATTCTCCTGTTTACAGCCTCCCAAATGCTGGGATTACAGGCTCCTGCCACCACTCCCAGTCTCCATCGCCGCACGGCAGGCCCAGGGATCTCGGGGATCTCCGGCCCCTGCGCATGCTTGCCCTTTATTCCCCTTTAATCCGATGAACTATTTGGCCGGCCCGGTAATGTTACAAAGATCTTGTTTGGCTTTATTTGCAGTTCTAGAATCGAGCAACACTTCATTCCATGAAGCAAAAGTGTTGCTAATAGCTCAACAGGAGAGATGGGGTGGGGGGGTTTATGCAGAGGAAAGGCCAAAGAAAGCAGATTCAAAGAGCAAATTGGTCATTTCTAAGTTAATTTTCTTGCTCTGCACGATTGTCATGAGGGAGATGGAATACTGGAAAAATAACATCGAGTCAACAACATCAAGTTACTTTAGGTTACTTTCACATATCAAAATTCATTATCATGCCAATTGAAACTGGTCTGATTGGGAAATCTGGTTATTTGTCCTGATAGCCTAGTTTGTTTAGTGATGTAGATCTTTAGAAGAGATAACTATTTTAAGTTTTAGTCTAATTTGTTTGGGCTCACAGCAGGAATTTAGTTGAAAACAATGACCTCCTATGCTTTTTACTAACACAAGAAGTCCATTTATGTGTGTGTGTGTGTGTGTGTGTATGTATGTGTATGTGTATGTGTATGTGTATGTGTATTTCTCATCAATGAAGTTCCTGCCTCAGCCTCCTGAGTACTGGGATTACAGGTGTATGCCACTACTCCTGCCTCAGGAAACTTGAAATTTATATTTTTCTTGGCTTCATTACTCCATAAAGTTTGTCTTTCCTCTTTTTTCTCTTTCCAACTCCATTTCTGGTTCTGCAGCTGACTCCTCTTATGTACCAAGTATCAAATGCTAGTGTGGGGCTGGAGAAATGGCTCAGTGGAATAAGCGCTTCCCTGGCAAGCGCAAGGTCCTGAGTTCAATCCCTGGTTCCGCAAAAAAAAAAAAAAAAATGCTAGTGTTCCTTGAGGTCCTTCTTCAACTTTCTTCTCATGTTATATAGTACCTACTCATAGTTTTCCTGACTCACTTCCATGTCTGTCACTTGAGGTTCATTGCTTATATACCCAGTAAGTGACTCCTGAATCTTAAGCTTTATATCAAATCTGCCAAAGCTTTCTTTCCAGTTCCATTATTTGCAACATGGATGAACCTGGAGGACCTTATGCTAACTGAAATAAACCAGCACAAAAAGACAAACACTAAAGGAGCTTACTTTCTCATGGAATCTAAAAGAGCAGACCATGTATGAATGAGGAGCATAGTAGTTCCCAGAGGCTGGAGAAGGGTATGTGAGAAAGGGATGATGTTGATGAGAGGATGCAGAGTTTCATGTAGACAGGAAGAACAAACTTTAGTGGAGAACATAATAAATAGTAATGTATGTGTCAGAATTGCTAAAAGAATAGATTTTAGGGGCCGGCAAGTTAGCCAAGCAGGTCTAAAGTACCTGCTTAGGCAGGTGCAGGGAACTGCAGTTCAGTCCCCAGCACATAGGGCACCAGCCCCACCCCCAGGACAGGCTGAGCTAGCTAATAAATAAACAAAATTTAAAAAGAATAGATTTTAAATGTTTTCACCATGCAAAAAAAAAAAAAAAAGGTGATGAATCTGTTAATCTGATGTAACCATTCCATGTTGTAAATGTATATTAAAATGTTACCTTGTGCCCTGTAAATATATACAATTAGTCTGGTCAAAATAAAAACTTTGTTTTTTGAGTTGTTTGTTTGTTTGGTTTTTGCCAGGGAAACGCTTATTCTACTGATCCATCTCCCCAGCCCCTTGGTTGGTTTTTGGAGGCAGGCTCTCACTGTGTATTCCAGGCTGGACTTGAGAGCCTTAAGCTCACTTTGTAGTGCAGTCTGGCCTCCAACCGAGAGCAATCCTCCTGCCTCAGCTTCCCAAGTGCTGAGGTCAAAAGCATGTACCACCCCACAGAGCTGATATATGTATTTAGTACAGTATCTCACTACACAGATCAGACTCATAGTGATCCTCCTGTTTTCAGCCTCCCAAGTGCTGGCATTACAGGTACACGCCACCATGTCCAGTCTCAGTCACTGTCTCAGCGCACCCTGGGGGCCCGGCACAGCACGGCATGCCTGTGATCAAACCCTAGTCCCTGCGTGTGCCTAAGCAGGCGCGTTAATCTTCTGAGCTATTTGGCCGGTCCTTAAAGATAAAATTTTTATAAGAGGCTTTATTCTCAAGCATCTTGCTGGCTGTATCCCAATCAGAGATGTACCCTGTACATCAAAACTCAACAGGTCAAAGAGCTAATTAGTTTCTCCTCTTGTTTTCCCCATTTTTCAGAGCAGGCTACCCTTCTCTTTCACTTGCCAAGCTATAAACAAGGCAGTTCTGGACAATCCTTCACTCATCCTCATGCATTCAGATACCAAGTTCTTGAGTTTGTACCATTAAAGCTTTTTTTAAGTAAAGCATTTCTTCAAATAAAAGTTTTTACAAAAGCCTAATACATAAAATAACAAAAGCCAGGATCTCTCTAGTCTTCTGCTGTGGCTCCTTTTAGGTGCCCGTGCCCTTGCCTGACAGTGTGAAAACCGCTGGTTTTAAAGGCTGTCCTTGGGCTGAGCTGACATCTGACCAGTCAGAAATCTGTCAGCTTTGGCCGGAGAGGAACCAAGCACTGATACCTTGACAGCATGGGTGAGCCACGAAAGCTTGCTACATGCGTGAAGCCACACGCGAACGCCACATCGTGCTTGCTATTCTGCCGTCTATGTCACAGCAGAACAGGCAAAATTTGTCCAGGTGGGTGTGGGCACAGTGACTGCTAATAGATTCCAGCTTTCTTTTTGAGATGATGAAGCTATTCTGGACTTAGAAAGTGGTGATAGAAGGGCCGAGGAGATGGCTCAGTGGATTAAGCGCTTCCCTGGCAAGCGCAAGGGCCTGAGTTCAATCCCTGGTTCTGCCAAAAAAAAAAAAAAAAAAAAAGTGATGGTTCCATGAGCTCGTGAACATGCTAAGAAGCCATGGTTTTCACACTTTATTTTTTTTTTAATTTTTATTTATTTATGTGTGTGTGTGTGTGTGTGTGGCCAGCTCAGCCCACCAGGGGGCGGGGCTGGCTGGCATGTGGTGCTGGGGGATTGAACCGTGGTCCCTGTGCTTTGCTAAGCTTGTTCTAAGTAGGTACTTTAGACCACTGAGCCATCTCACCAGCCCAGTTTTCACACTTTAAAGGGGTAAATTTATGTTATATGATTTATATCTCAAAAGAATTGGGATGCCATAATCTGTTCCATGGAACTGGTTATTTGAAGGAGATAAACTTATCAAAACAGGCTGGTCATGAGTTTATTTGTTTGGTCCAGGGTCTCGCTGCACAGCTCGGACTTGTGATGCTCCTGTCTCAGCTTCCCCAGCTCTGAGATTGTAGGCATCGGGCTTTCAGGCCAGCGTGGCATGCAGCACCGGGGATCGAACCCAGGTCTTTGTGCTTGCCAGGCAGGTGCTTAGGCCACCGAGCTATCTCCCCAGCCCCCATGAGTTTATGTCTATGATATTAATATTTATAAAATGACATGAATGTAACTTATTTACAGAAGAAGTGTCACTGACGTTTTCTGTAACATGAGTAGAGTTGCTCTGAATGATAAGCAATTCTACCACTACCACCAAAAAACTAAGAATTCCAGGCTTGAGAACGAAAGTCCTACAAAGAATTTCGAAAGCAGCTTGATATTGTTGCCCAATCTGTCCAGTTACCCCAGTGAGTCCCCTAAAATCTAACTGATCCTTTATGTGGACCCACGATTTAAGTCTCTTCACTTTGGAATTGCCTTTTTTAGAGCATGGTATTGGCAGCGGCGTACGCTGTTGGGGAAGTGGTGGTTGCCCAAGGAATGACCTCAGTCTTGAAAGCTAAGCAAGGAAACTGGCCCTTAAGGGTAAATGTGAAAGGGACTCAAGGGCAGAGCCTTTCGGCACAAATTGAGGCCAAACTTCAGGGAGTAGGTGGGTTCTGAGACGCAGCAAAGGTAAGAATCTAGGCACAGTCAGATGTGTCACATGCCTGTAATCCCAGCACTGGAGCTGAGGCAGGAGGATCCTTCTAAGTGTGAGACCCTGAGCTGCAAAGTGAGCTCAAGGCCAGCCTGAACTGCATAGTGAGTTTTTGAGGCGCTCTCTCAAAAACAAAAGGAATCCAGGCCTACCACACATGAAGTGCAGCGGCAGTCAGCAGAAGCAGGTGATGTCCTGGCTGAGGAGACTTGCCCAGGGGAGAGCCAGGGAACAAGGCAGCAGGAAAGAGGGACAGCTGGGGCTTTGGCAGTAAGCTGCAACGAGGCCTTACCTTCACCTCAGGACTTTTGCTTAAGCAAACACTTAGCAACTAGCCTTGGAAAGACTTGCTGCAAGCTAGAATCTTAGCTCCTGGGGATCAAACCTAGGGCCTTTGCACTGAGCTACAATTCCAGACCTTTTTATTTTCTATTTTGAGACAGTCTTGCTAAATTGACTAATTTAGCCCCAAATTTGTGATCCTCCTGCCTTCAGCCTTCAGTGCTGGGAATATATATATATATATATATATATATACCTTCAGTGCTGGGATAATATATATATATATATATATTAGGCCTCCATGCCTGGCCACACTTTTGATTGTGTAGAAAAACCCAGGATTCTTATACCTCTCTTACTCATTTTCCCACTTTCCCTAGATTTATGCCAGTAATAGCCAGAAATGCGGTCTGCCCAGTCCTACCAGAAGGAGGAGTCAGTCACAGCTAAGATACCATATAGAAACTAGTGTTAGCCATGTCCTTTTATTAAGCCATTTGGATGGGGTTAGGGATGGAGTTTTCATGGCCCTGCCTTGGAAGAAATGGGCTCAGCAGCTGCTGCAGTCACTAGGGTAGTTGTCCCAGTGCAGGCCAATGGCATCGATGACAGAACCAGATCGGCCACTGATGAATCGGAGTACAGTGTTGGGGTACAAGGGGAGTGCATTGAAACTCGTGCCTGTGTCCTTCCCAAAAGGCAGGTAACGGCCCTTGTCTGTCACAAAGACCAGCTTCCTCAGGTAAGACTTGTATTTGCCAGACACCTGGATCACCGACTCCCCAGGGTGCAGAAAGATCTCTTCCAGATCTCCGGATTTGCCACCCACGTAGTCGCTCCATACTTTTCCATACCGCACCTGTAGACTGGGTATGAGCAAAGAGGGAAGGAGCAGAGACATTGGCTAGGATGAGAATTCGTGACCTCTTGGTCACAAACTGGGGACAGAGACAAGTCCCCTGTCGGGCTCACAGCTTATGAAGGCTGGGTGAGTCCCAGAAAATCATTCAGGGAGCTTGAACTCATTTTGAAAAAAAAAAAAAAAAAAAACCTCAGAAAGGGAAGAGAAGTAGCCAGGAGTCACCCGAACAGCAGAAGTCAGAGCTTGAATCTGGATTCCAGGGTTCTACTGTGCCCAGCCCCCACTTGAAAGAAGCAAAAAGAGATGGATGAGACATATCCATGTTGTCTTAGGATGCAGGACCCAGGTCAGGAGGAAGCACATTTTGCTTCTACATGTGATAGAAGCTTCCACTGTCTGAACAGCCTGGGACTATCCAGGAGAGACACCAACAAAGAAGGAAGATGGCTGACAGGAATACTGCAAAGGAGGCTTCAGCCTCTTCCGGTTAAGATCCTAGAAGTCCCCCAAGCCGCAGGTGCTCAAAAGGCTCTTACCCTACAATGTAGTATCTGTTGACTCTGACACGGATGGCGGTGATGGGGCCTTCCAGCTGGAGGCCGGAATGGGAGAATCGCTTTCCTCCACCACCTCCATATTCTCCATTGTAGGAGGAGGCCCTCGCCTGAACTGGAGGGCAGAGAGAAGGGAGAACACCCAGCGGCGCTCAGGTACTTCCCATCACTACCAGCCTTCCCACAGCTCAGTTCCTGCTGCCCAGGCCTCCTTGGAGCCCAGGCCAAGACTGGCACAGAGGCTCCTTCCCACGTCCCCAATCACCAGACTCTGGGCTCCTCACTTACTGGCGTTGGCAGAGGTGGAGGCACAAAGAAGGACCAGGAGAACAGTGGCCAACATTCTGGGGCAGAGTGGAAAAAGAGGAGGGAATGAAGGCTTGCTCTTTTCCCTCTTGGACTTCACTTACCCAAGTAGCCTGGCCTCCGGTTCAGACCTGAACATTTCACTTCTTCAACTCACACCCAGCAGACTCAGTCATGAGGTTGGAGAAGAGCCCATCTACACTCCTGTTCCTTTCAGATATCATGTTCTAGGTCCCTAAGTCATCTGGCTCTCCCTCGTCTGGCTGTAGCCAACTCTCCCTTACCCTCCCAAGTAAAAAAGACCAGTCCTAACTGTCCTGATCAAGCTAAATCAAGCACCATTCTGTCCTGGCACAAGCAGCAGAGAATTTTCTAAGGGGAAGTAGAGAACACCATCAAAGCATAGAGATGGTTGAGTTCACCAAGCCAGGAATCTGAAGTGAGCCAGTAGTAGATTAGCTTGACTTACAGTCATCAGGGCATAGTTTAACCCCTGGCTTCACCCTGGTCTCAAATCAGAAAGAATGTTAGTGGTGCCTGTGTATCACATTGGCAATGAAGATGGACATAGACACTGCTGACACCAGTGTCTAAGCAATTCTCGTAGAACTGCGCTAGAGAAGTCGCAGAGCTGAGATGAGCTCAGTTCCTGGTCCCAGATGCCTGGTCTACTTGTCGTAATCCTCACACCTAGATACAACCCTAATCATTTCCATTCCCCTGTGCATCCCATGTGCCCCATTCCTTCAGTTGAAACCAGACCCTTTGTGCCTAAGACTAGCTCAGCCATCTGCTACTCAATCCCGGCATCCCCTTCGCCAGCTTACGCTTGAATACCCCCAAACTCCGATCCAGACATCCTTGTCAGCCCTCACCTGGAAGTTTCAGATGTGAAATAATCCCTTAGAAACTTCCAGATCTTTTATAGCAGGTTCAAATGCTCCCCCTGCCCTTTATCATGGGAACCTCACCTTCTGGGTAAACATAATCAACCTCCTAGGATCAGGTATCAGCCAGGTCTGGGACTTCCTATCTGACTCCTCCCTCACACATTACAGGTGGCAAGGTAGGGTCTCCTCTGGGCCAAATGCCACATAGCTCTCAGGAGGGGCAAATAAACTAGAGAAAATTCTGCCAAAGGGCCCAAAAATCCAGGTGAACAAAGTAACTAGTCACCTCTGGGGTACAGTCTAAGGGGCTTGTGGAAGGTTTTCCCTTCCCTAAAGGATCATAGGCTCTCTTATCTGAAATGTGCCAGCCGCCACGATAAACAGTGCCCACTCCAGGCATTTGACATGCAGATTTTCCAGGGAGGGAACACCCCACACCTCATACTGAGCAGTGACTACTATGCCTGACAATTTTTTTTCTCTCCTTCCCTGATATTTTATTATGACAAAAAATGCAAAACATGGTAAGCTTGAAGACGTGTGTAGTGAAACCCACATGATCCCCCCACAGAGTCTACCAGGACTGATACCTTGCTATCTCTGCCCCCGCCGTGCACACAGCCACCCACCCTCAGTCTGACAGGCCCTTTTCAGATGCTTCCTCCCCGGAAAGGGTGACTTGAGACTGCCCCTTCTCAGAGACAATCAGTCCAGTGGGACAGTGGGATGCTGAGGCAGTCTTACGGGTACACAGGGCCCTTCTGGAAGTGGGTAATGTTGGACTTGGAGCCTGTGGGACTTTGGGCACCATAGTGATAGCCCCCTCAGGACAACTACCACTTTGTTTGGGTCTGAAACCTGCACCGTGCTGTCACAGATTTCTGTCCTCTTTAAGCCCTTGTCTTCCAGGACTGACTCCTCTTAACCTATAAGCCTTAGGTATGCCTGACCCCTCTAGCACTGGCTTTCTGAGCCCTTGGGTCAGCAGGGCTGTCCTGGGGAAGAAAAGATGGAGGCCAGGGAGGGCCTGGGTGACAGTAGCTCTACATGATGCAAGCCACACACTGAGCACTCCACCCTGCCCCTACAGGCTCGCCCATCTGGGCTGAGGTTTAACCCCAGATGGCAAAGGGAGCCCTGTCCTGAAGACGGGGGAAGAGGGTGGACTCCTGAGTGGCGAGGTCTGGGAGTGGAGCCAGGCAGCTGCCAGAGATGCCCTCGGCGCCTTCCCGCCCTGCACTTCTTCCTCCAAGTTCAAGATAAGCATATCCTGCTGATGTGCCTGTATCTGATTCTGAGGGATTTTGTTCTTATGTCCCTTGACTCTCTCTTTTTTTTTTTTTTTATGAGCAGAATATATTGAGGGGAAGAAAGCTCCTGTCCGAGAGAGGGACAGGAAGGAGGCCCGAGCAGGTTGTCCCCTCCCTTGACTATTTCCCTTTTCTTCTTCTCTTCCTCCTCTTCCTCTTCCTCCTCCACCTCCTTTTTTGGACGCAAGGTCTCACTATGTAGCCCAGGCTGGCCTTGAACTTATGGCAGACCTCCTGCCTCAGCCTCCGGAGTGCTGGAATTATAGGTGTGCACCCCCACACACAGCTATTTATTTGTTTGTTTGGTACAGGGTCTCACTACGCAGCTTGGACTTGTAGTGATCCTCCTGTTTTCAGCCTCCCCAGAGCTGGGGTCACAGGCGTGTGCTGCCATGCATTGTCTAGGTAGCGGGCTCAGCTGGCCCGCAGGTGGGGCCGGCACCACATGTGGTTCTGGGGATCCATCCACAGTTCCTGGCTTGCCTAAGCAGGCGCTTAGTCTGCTGGGCTATCTCACCAGCATGTTTTTGTTCTGAGACAGGGTCTTTCCACTAGGTCAGGCTGGCCTTGAATTCAGTGTATACCTCAGGCTGGCCCTGAACTCACAGCGATCCTCCTGCCTCAACCTCCCAAGTGCTGGATTACAGGCCACCACGTCCAGCCTTCTTCATTCATGCCAGACTCTCTTTTCCTTGGTCCTCCTGCTCTAAGGGTTTTTTTACATTTTTTTCTCCAGGCACTTCTCTCCCTTGTCTTTTCCTCTTTCCCAAGTGCTCCGGCTGTGAGTGCTTCACTCTCACTCTGTCTCTCCATTTCCTTGTTAGGATGTGTCCCACATTCTGTGGTCAAACGCAGGAAGCCCTGGAGGCATCTAGGAGATGTCCCTCACCAGGTCCCTAGGGATAAGGGCAGACACACAGGCCACAGCTTCACACCCTGCCCGTGTGGAGTCCAGAGTCTCCCGGAGCCTGGCGCTTGGATCCCTACACAGTGCTCCAGTCTGCTCATCTAAGTGCAAGGGAGGTTCGTGCCATGGAGGGCCCCTCTTCTATCTATCCCAGGGTCAAGGAAGGCCACCATCTGGCTCCTGCAAGTACCTCTAGGGTTTCCTCTAAAAGCGTGATTCAGGAGCCAAAAAGGAGCAGAAGGCAGTACATCAGGCTTCCACCCCATTGGCTCCTGTTGGCCTGCTTTCCGCTGGCCACGTGCCAGGCAGGCCCCATGCCCATCCTGTCTAGAGGAGTTTGGCTTAAGCCTCACCCCATCCCATTCTACAGGTGATGAAGGGTCAAAGGCCTGCCAAAGTTTCTGCTGCTGCAGGGTAACCTAGAGGTGGCATCTACTCACTGTCTCTGCCCCCTTCATGAACAGCCTCACTCAGCAGAGGCTGATGTCTCTGTTAGAGAGCCTGCCCGGGCTGGAGACAGCAGCAGCCTGCCTGACCAGTCCGGTTGACAGATGAGTTCATGCACAGTGTGACAAGAGGCAGCACGGGCTGCAACATAAATAAAGCAGACTGAGAGTGCAGGGAGAGGCGAGACTGCTCAGGTAGTGGGGAGGCCTCTCCGCTCAGGTAACATTTAGGCAGAGATCAGATTGAAGCAATGAAACAGAGGAAGCAAGTTCCAAAGCACTGAACAGGAAATGTGTTTGAAGGCATCGGGGATGTAGCTCAGCGGCATGAGCGCCTGCCTGGCAAGCACAAGGTCTCGAGTTCGGTCATCCCTACCACCAAAAGAAAAAAAAAGAACCAACACCAGGAAATGTGTTTGATGAACTTGGAAACAGCAAGGAGGGCAGGCCAGCTGGTGGTAAGCAAGAAAAGCCAGCAAGAGGTGAGGGTTGAGCACAGTTAGGGTGAGTGGTGTAGGGCCTAAAAGACAGAGGGAGAAGTGGGAAAGTGTGGGCGGGGAGGGCCAGATCCATCCCCCTGGATGCGAGGAGCACAGCCTGGATCTTGATTAGGTGGAGACTTGGGAGGGGTGGAAAGGGAAGAGCAAGGCAGGGGCGGGGTGGGGTAAGCCCCTCATTTCCTCTTTGGGGACCTCTCCAGAGTCCCTATGGTGGCAGAATGACCAATTTACTTTTTTTCTCGTTCTGCTTTCCCTTTTCTATCTTTAAAAACAGTCTCCTCTGCTCAGCTCACTGAGACCCATCCTCTTCTATGGAATGCTGTGCTGCCTAATTCTAGGATCACAAATAAAAGCCCATTAAGATCTTTAAATAAGGGGCCAGGGAGATGGCTCAGTGGAATAAGTGCTTGCCTGGCAAGTGGAAGGGCCTGAGTTCAATCCCCTGTTCTGCCAAAGATAAAAAAATAAAGACTCCCTTAAAAAAAATCTTTAAATGATACTTGTTATAGTTTGTCTTTTTTTTTTTTTTTTTTTTTTGCAGAACAGGGGATTGAACCCAGACCCTTGCGCTTGCCAGGGCAGCACTTATTCTACTGAGCCATCTCCCCAGCTCCTTAGTTTTGTCTTTTGGCAGGGAAGAGAGGCTGATCGCCACTGTGGGGTTTAAATTTCCCAAGGCTTTGGGAAGGCAAACCTGCTTTACCATAGGGTAGGAACAGCTTCCTGGGCCATTTAAGTGGACTCTCATGGAGACAGAACCAGAGTCTTACCCCTGCACTCGGGAGGCTGAGGCAGGAGGACTGCTGCGAGTTGGAGGTCAGCCTAGGCTGCAAAGTGAGTTGAAGGCCAGCCTGAGCTACATAGGGAAACTCTGTCTTAAGAAGGTACACACATACACACACACACACACACACATACACATTTCAGCAGGTGCATCAGTGTGAGGCATAGATTTATTGGGTAATTAGATAATAAGAAGGGTAA